TGCAGAGCCCCAGAGCAGCCCCGGGCAGGGAGAGCTTCAGTGCAGCTTTCATCGCTACAATCTTCACCTTCAGGGACGGGGTTGCCTTGCGAGCAGCGGGGCAGGAGGGGATGTCCACAGCTTCGTGCTGAGTTGGGGCAGTCCGGGCCTAAGCTGGCCTGGCCAGACCCTGCCCCGGTCTGAGCTGTGGCTGGGCTCCCCGCAGGCTGGGAATGGGAGAAGGGAGGAACTGCCCTTTTTTTAAGCCGATTTCAAGCAATTGTGAAACTGGAGTGGGAAGGGGGCCAGGGCTGCAGGGACAGCACGTGCCCTGCTGTGCGTCCCCTTCCCCTCACACACGCGCGGTCTGCGGCAGGAGAGTGCCTGGGTGTCTGGTGCTCTGCCACGGTCGGGCCACTCCCGCAAAGGGACACGCTTGATTTTTGGCCACTGCTTTTCAGTAGTTCTCCCCCTTTTTGAGAACACGCTCCTGGCTGCCCTGTGCTTTGGGCAAGGGGGGATTTGGTGGCCCTGGCAAAGCAGCAGGGCCTGCCAGCAGAGGCTGCAATGGTGGCGATGCACGGCAGAGCCTGGGTGCCTTCCTACTGCATCCGTGCCCTCCTGTGCCCCCGGCTGGGTCCAAGGTATCCTGCCTGTGCTGCCGGCTCTCCCGAGTGAGATCATCCCAGGCATGACGGCAGAGGAAATCAGTTCCCCACCCTACGAGCGTGGCTCCGACGAGCCACTGGGGAGGTGGCACCCGTGGCTGAGGTGTCACTGCTCGTTCCCTCGCAGGCGATGGGAGAACAAGCCTGGCAGATGCTCACCGCCCGCAGTGGGGGCACGCTGGCCTGCCCGCCTCCCAGCCGTGTGCCAGACCCGTGGCAGAGGAGGAAATTAGGATATTGTCTGGTGTCCAGGAAGGATTCCTGCCTCGGCTTGTTCCTGCCAGTCCTCCGCCGACCTTCCCTCGGTGTGGAAAGCCCAGCAGGAAGCTGACTCACTGTCTGCTGCCGCCACGGCTGGGTGCGGGGCTCTGCTGCCTGCAGCACTGAGGGCTGCTCCTTTCACAGATGCAGGAATAGCTCATCACCCAGACCCCCCGGCACCCGCCTGCCCTGGCTCTCCTCTGCCAGCGCCCAGCTCTCTGCCGACAAGCAGAGAACAGCAGCCATGGCACACTGGTTTCTGTGCCATCTGCAGCTGGGCTGGCGGGAGGGCTGGGAGCTCGCCGGGTTGCCGGCATCACTGCCGAACATGCGGGCAGTGCCGCTGCACCAGGCTGTGGGGCAGGAGGCAGCCCCGAGGTGGGGAGGGGGGCTGAGGGGCTGGAGAGGGGTCCCGGGCTTGTCCTGCGCAATGGGGCCTGTGCCAGCCCTTGCTGACTGCTTCGTGTTCATCACGTCGCTGGTGTGGCAGCCAGCCCCGGAGCTGCCGGGGTGGCAGAGGTGCGGTGCCAGACACGTGGTGGTGGCAGCATCCGGGTGGCCAGTGATGGCGAGCCAGCACTTGCCTACTTATCAAAGCTCTGCGAAGAAGCAGCTGGTTGTAGCCATTCCTTCCGGGTGAGCAGCTCCTAAAGAGATGTAGGAGACAGTTCAGACATCCCTGTTTCCATTCCATCATTCCCTATGAATGTAGGACTAGAGATTTAATCCTGTTACAGAAAGCAGCAAATATCAGGCATAAGTTCCTTATCAAGATTCTTGCCACCTTTCCTACCAGGCTGAAGGAGAAAAGGGCTGACAGCATCAGTCACTGCTGCTGCATTTAGGGAATCCAACATTTATTGCCTGGATAGTTTAGAAAGCTACTTTGTTCTGAGGACCGGGTCAAGCTACCTTCTTCTTCCCTCTTAGAAGGTGTCACTTGACAGTAGTGTTAATACTAAAAACCTGGTCTTTTGAACGGTTGGTTCCTTGCCTTTCCCTGGGCTTTCCAAGCCCTGTTAGCCCCCTGCCTCAAAGCTGCAGGGAGGTCTGTCAGGCTGGGACAGCGACCGGTCCCTCACAGCCCAGCAATACGAGTGCTGTGTCACTGTCACCGTGCTGAAAACTGCAGCAGTTACGGGCTTAGAAATTTTTTCCACGGTATGCGTGGAAACACAACCTTGCAGCACCCTCTGGGAGCTGATGAACAGAAAAGGGAAAGAGAAAGGGAGCCCGCAGGGACCCTGGCCTGGGAAACAAGGGTAAGGCCCCGAGTTTATGATGAGTGCATTCGGGTTGCTTGGTGTGTTTGTTGGGAACAGGTTTGCTGCTAGCTTGCCACTTCATTGTCAGATCTCCCTTGACATGCAGCTGTGAGGGTCATGCCTTGATGGGCAACCCACCCCTGGGTGACAGGAACCATGGCCAAAGTTTCTCCATGGAGAACTCCGGGAGGGGACACCTGGTGCTGGAGATGCCTGCCGGTGGAGACCCTTGGCAGGCAGGCAGAAGAGGTAAAGGAGAGGTGTGCTCCGCAGCTTTCCCATGGCTGTGAGGAGCTCCGTGGCCCCCTGGTGACCAGCCAGAAGGGAGAAGCTGAACAGCCCAAATGGCCTGCAGAAGCAGCAGCAGCGGAGGAGGAACTGCCCTCCGGCGGGGAGAAGGCTGGCTGCGGCAGAAACAGCCGGGCGACAAACACAGGGCTGAGAGGGGACTGTCAAGGACAATTCAGTGTTGAGTGGATCTAATCCCCTTCACTAACAGGGTAATTGGCCTTGCGGATAGAAGTATTAGATGCGAGATAAGGATTGTAGTTACGCTTCTGGCACCGTCTTGCACGATGTTTTCCTAAGACAGGGAAAGTGGTTTAGGTTAAGCTAATTCAGCACAAGTACAAAAGAGGTTGGATAGCCATGCCCGGGGTGGCTCTCAGTGACTTGATATCAAAATGGAAGGACATGGGACAGTGACATGTCCCCATTAAGAAACCTTACCAAAAGGTCCAGATAGTGAAGGTGGAAGAGGCTGCTGGGGGTGGTCGTCCCAGGCATCCGTTGCAGTGGCCTAGGTGTGACTCTGTCTTGTGGCAGAGGTTGGACAAGATACTGCCACCTCCCTCAGAACCCCGTGTCTTTTAAATAGCTCAAAAAGCACATTATTCACCAAAAAAAAAAAAAATCTAATCCCAAAAACTTCATGTCCCCCCCCCCCCTTTTTTTTT